ATTTTGTGTAGCTTGTCAGTGAACTACTGCTCTGTGTAGTAAATGCCGCTCCATCTGAAAGCACGTGATGGAGATTTACTACTAATCACCAGAAGCGGCTTTACTGACGAGATGCGCATGAAAATCGCATTCGATTTTTTGCACAGCCCTAATTGTACCTAACAATTCATTACTTTATTAATAAGTACATTGTATTTAAAGACACCTAATATAAAGCAGGACCTAAAAACCTTTATCGTAAATTCTTTACTCATATACAGAATCCCATAATTCAGTAGGACTGTAGAAGCAGCAGCTCTGACTTCACAAGGTTTCAGAGGAAATGCTTTTATGCCTTCCACAGTCTAAAGCGAGTTAAACGAAATGTACTTAATTGTTAAATCTGAATAGATGTGTTCACCTGGTCGGAGATGGCCAACAGTGTCTGCTAGACTTCCTCTCTTCACCTTTGTAATGAAAGCACAAAGTCTGCCAGACTCTGTCATCTTCCCTCCCACCACCTGCAATACAGACAACAGGCAATGCTAAATATTTTAAATATTTTTTACATGCAATTACGAATTTTCAAGCCTGAAAGGTAATTATTTATGTGGAATTTAAAGGCTGAAAGTTTGACCTGTGCTATGAAGAAATGATGATCCACATCAATACCATGTGTGATTATACTATGGGGAAAGTTCACTAAGATTGAACTGGAATTGCTGATAGCATCATTTACGGTTTTTGCATGTTTTTCTGCATTGTTTTAATACCCCACTCACTAAAGGAATTATGCAAATCAAGCAACTCGGCAAACGCACCCACAAAATTAATGCCAAACACAGTTTGCCCAGGAAATATTGCTCTCTATTCACAGAAATGTAGTCAGATAATGGCTGGAAGACAGTGAGTGGGCAAACTTACAGGAACTAAAGCACACCACCACAAATAGTACCTTAATTTACCCTTTTGTGGGAATGGTCACTGCTTTACTGTAAGTGAAAAGGACCATCGGTAACCAATTTATAATTAGGGGTGTAACGATACACCACTGCCACGGTTCGGATCGGTTTGGTTATGTTTGCTGTGGGGGTAGGGTTCATGGCATGGCATCAGCAATGCTACAGAACACTTCACTTTTAACTTATTACTCATAATAATAATAATGCTCTGTTAGTTCGTGTTAAATAATTATTTAATGAATGAGACTAAAAATTGTTGCTTTGTAAAGTGTTACCAAAAAAAAAAAAGTTAAATAAAATGAAATAATGCACAAAAGTAATTGGACATCGTTATTAGGCTAGATATAAAAAATGCATGTGCAATGGATAAATAAAATAGAATAGCCGGACAATAAGGACATTTTCTTAAATTTTTTGTAACAGCATGCTAAAAACGTCAGCTAAACCCTAAGAATTCACAACATTTTTACAATAGTGCTCTCATTATAATGTTATTTATATGACAGTAGTTATTAATGTTCTGGTTTTCTGTTTTGAGCTGCGCACACTGAAAATCATGTAGGATGAAGCATTTTGATAGCGGGTTTTTAATCAATGGGATTTAACTCATCAGATTTATCTCATAAGGAATACACTTTGTTATTTATACTAAATAATGTTAATACAACGACTTATAGGCTATCTGCACAAAATGCCCCGAATGCACATGAACGTGTCTGTGCGGCTCTGAATGAACTCCTTTTGTGGAAGTGTTCTTCACGCAACAACGTGCAGCAACTACACTCTAAAAATGCACAGCATTTTATTATAACAGTGTTCTTATTATAATGTTAAATACACAACAGTCCCAGTCATAGTTATTAATATTCTGCATTGTTGTTTGTGCTGCTCGCACTGCGCGCTGAAGAGATAATCACCGTAGTACTACAATGAAGCACTTTACTGCAGCGCAACTCAACCTATGAATCTTATACGAGATAAATAATATATATACGATATATATACGTTTTTTTAAGTGTCTCAGCAGGGGTATCGCAGTTATGTATTGTGGGTGGTGTGTATGGCGGTTTTTCGGTTCGGTTTGAATATCGTTACACCCCTATTTATAATACAAGAACTCAAGCCAACTAATTGAGTCCACAATAAGGTCAAAGTTCAAATCATTAAGAGAAAACTGTGGTTAGTAAACTGTGCATTGTGTATGAAGCTGACCGAGTGTTTGGTGTAGATCTCTTATGATCTCGGGTTGTTAGCATGCCTTTGATCGAGTGATCTTTGACAGTGTTTGGGCATCCTTACAACGACTTATAGGCTATCTGCACAAAATGCCCCGAATGCACATGAACGTGTCTGTGCGGCTCTGAATGAACTCCTTTTGTGGAAGCGTTCTTCACGCAACAACGTGCAGCAACTACACTCTAAAAATGCACAGCATTTTATTATAACAGTGTTCTTATTATAATGTTAAATACACAACAGTCCCAGTCATAGTTATTAATATTCTGCATTGTTGTTTGTGCTGCTCGCCCTGCGCGCTGAAGAGATAATCACCGTAGTACTACAATGAAGCACTTTACTGCAGCGCAACTCAACCTATGAATTTTATACGAGATAAATAATATATATACGATATATATACGTTTTTTTAAGTGTCTCAGCAGGGGTATCGCAGTTATGTATTGTGGGTGGTGTGTATGGCGGTTTTTCGGTTCGGTTTGAATATCGTTACACCCCTATTTATAATACAAGAACTCAAGCCAACTAATTGAGTCCACAATAAGGTCAAAGTTCAAATCATTAAGAGAAAACTGTGGTTAGTAAACTGTGCATTGTGTATGAAGCTGACCGAGTGTTTGGTGTAGATCTCTTATGATCTCGGGTTGTTAGCATGGCTTTGATCGAGTGATCTTTGACAGTGTTTGGGCATCCTTACCTTGAGGCCCAGCAGTGTCCCCGTGTCTCTGGGCACCGTGCCATCTTTCATCCGCTTGTTTAGCACTATCCGCCCTATTAGGCGCTCTCCATCTTTGGATGGTTGCCATGTCACCGGGTGCTACGGGGGTCAAAGTGAAAATACACCTCTGGTTTTTATACAAGCATCCACACACAGCACGTTACAAATATACGCACACATGCACAGGCTCGGGAAATTAAAGGAGGAGGTCAACTCTTGTTTGCTGTGAAGACACAAACCGAACCAAGGTGTCAAGTCAACATGAAATACATTCACAACCCATTTTACTTTGTAATCATATATTTGAGTGAAACAGTGTGTTTAATGAAAACAAAATGTAGGATAGGGTTTGATTTTATCCACTGGGAAGTGATATAGTCATGACAAGTTGGTGTTACAGGCCAGAATGGAGTTACAAGGTTGGTAAGATAAGATGGTAACACTTTAGATTGGAGAACACTACTCACTATTAATTAGTTGCTTGTGAGCATGGATATTACTAGCACACTGCCATTTTATTAACACCTATAAAGCACAATGCATAACATAAGTACTACAACAACGGCCTTACTAACTATTAATAAGCAGCAAATAAGTAGTTTATTGAGAGGGAAAAAAGCATAATAGCGAATCTAAAGTGTTACCGAGAAGATCTGTAAAAGAGAGTAAGAGAGATTTGTAACGTCAGCTGAAAACAAACATTGTTGTAGGCGGAGTAAGTTATTTCATTTTGATGAAAAATTATGAAGACAATAACATGCACACATGAATCTTGCCAATAAGACCAGGAACACGTATTAAGTAAGCAAATAGGGTCTGTTTTGACTTTATAAGGTTTTTTTTTTGTATTAGCAATAAATACCATAACATTTACACTATTTAAAAGAAATAATTAAAGCAAAATTAAAATCCTTTCATCATTTTGCACTCTCATGTCATAAACCAATACAAGGAAAAGCCTAAAAAAGGTTCCCATCTACTGTAGTTCTCAAATCTAATATACACTCAATTCATATGGTGCATCAAAACACATTGTGCCAAATTTGATGTCAATGTACAGTTTAATAAAAAAAAATTTTTTCCATGGCACTATGGTGTTAAACTTTGCACCATATGAACTGTATGTGATTTAAGATCTGGTCTGCAATGTAAGAGAAAAAATGTCTAAGAAAATGGATAATGTCCAGGCAGAAAATTACCTGTATGTTTTTCGTTAACTTTACGGACATTTTTATTAACTCTAAAATGCAATACTATTTCCTACAGTCCTACAGGTCTGGAACGACATGAGGGTGAGGAAATTATGGCAGGATCTTGGCATTTGCTAACAGTATGAAAGTAATTGTCTTCAAAATAATTTTCCACCCTATAGGGTTCGGTTTGTGCATTTATTAAGTACAGACACAACAGTCAGGACAGGGTGAGAGGTATCAAGCACACAATTCTGGACAACAACTCAAAGCAGTAAACTAGATCAGCAGTTCTCAACTGGTGAATCACAATCCTGTACGGATAGGGCACGTATTAGTCGATTAAAGCAATAACCTCCAAGAAGCAGTGGTTTACAGTGATTTTAGAACAGCTGTGGGACGTTTTTACAGAACGGAGTGTAGTTGTATTGAGTTGTACAGTAATACTGATGTAATAAGGTCACAGGTGTGTGTTTATGCAGTATTTTACTATGGCTTCAAACGTTGCCTAGCCAATCATAAAGGACCAGAGCGATTTTATAATAAACAATGTTGAATGCAAAAAAATGTATCTGACTGCATTCCACAGAACTAGAAACCATAGCCACTACAAGTTACGTCTACTTTAAGTTATGCCCCCCACAAGGAAAGAGCCAGTTGAATTTTGTCATCATGAATGTTTTCCACACTTTTTAAAGTATTTTGATTACGAAACTCTACAGTTACTGCATTTAACTGCAAAACGGAATATTTCACTTATAGCAGTTATTTCATACATGACGAGATTTGACAGTTTAATCCTATAAACATTTAAAAAATAAAACACAAAATAAATATATCTCGTTTTATGCTTATTTGGCGCCACCTATTGTTGTGGGTGTATTATTGACATGTCAAAGTCTAGACCCTGAATATAAGACGACCGCGTTTTTTCAGATGTATTTCCAAGAAAAAAACATTGTCTTATATTCGGGTCAATACGGTACTTGAAAAGATCATTTCAGTGGCTGTATCAATGACATCCACAAGCCAGTTTATCTTTGCGGAAAGTGTAACTTATAGTGGTCATCGTTTATAATACTTTGGGACGCAGGCATAAAATGAAAAATATAAATAGAATAGTTAAAACTAAAGAGAACATCACATATTTTGTAATTGATGTCAAAGTCTGTCCATCCAATCCAACCTTACGTTTTTTTTTTTGTACAAATTCCTCTGTTTTAACATAAATCTTCACTCACTTGATTCTTCAAATACTTTAAATACTTTAGTTACATTAGACAGATTCCAACATGGGCAAGTTGGCAACACAACAGTTCCCATCATACCCTCTTCCTCAAAATAATTAAAGCTACACAAGAGTAAAGGAATATACTCAAACTGTAATCAGTTGTTTGTGTCAACCATACTGTGTTTTTTGTGATTAATTAAAGCGAAAGAGGAGTGTTGTGAAAAGTATCCAACCTGAATGTGAAACTTTGATTTGAATCACAGCCAGTCAGAAGATATTTAATATTTAATATATGTGGCGGAGGATTTTGGACCAAATGGGACTATGCAAACAATTAACAAAATGTTCCAGTACTCGTTAGTCAGGACAAAATCTCAAAAGCTATGCTTGTTGCTTTATCGCATCACATATGGTTAGCCAATTCACAAGTATTAATGGTAACACTTTATTTTTAAGGACCAATTCTCACTATTAACTAGTTGCTTATTAGCATGCATATTACTAGCATACTGGCTGTTTATTAGTACTTATAAAACACATGTTATTCTGCATGACCATATTTTAGATCCTTTAATCCACCCCAATACCTAAACTTAACAGCTACCTTACTAACTATTAATAAACATCAAATTAGGAGTTTATTGAGGCAAAAGTCACAGTTAATAGTGAGAATTATTCCCTAAACCAATGGTTAAACCAATTCACAAATATCGATATTTAACATTAAACAACAAAACCAGTTGAGAAGCACTGATCTAGATCAATCCACTGTTTAAGCAGAAAAGCAAAGTAAATTGCTCTCACACCCTCAAGCAGTATGGATGTAGCAAGCTACTTCTATTCGCTATCGCGAAAGATGCGGTGAACGAACAAAAACCAAAGATGGGACAGAAAAGCACAGCATGAAGAATGAGACAGTGAAAAGGGGAAAAGAAAAACAACTGCTTAGTGCAAGATTGATTCCCACACTAGCCTATCCCTGTGTTTAAGCTGAGACTGAAGGATTGTGTGGAAAAAATCATGTCAGGAAATCCCAAAGGGGGGAACAGCATGAAAAGGTGACGTGACCAAGTGAGGAAAACAGGTTTGCAATCAGAATGGAGCGTCTGTCCGAATCGAGAAGCATGCAGCATATGGAGCAAACAGTGCCAGGAAGTTTGTCATTCATCTTTCTGTGTGTTAGGATGCGCTACGACTTTGCAGCCAGAAGACAGTGGAGCAAAGCAAACCAGAGGGTTCTCCTCTCATCTGAGAGGCACGATTAGAGTAGGAAACCCTCTAGGGGCAGAAACAGACAGTCGAGCAGGTCAGTCACAGGAAGCGAGAGGCAGGCAGCAGGAAGTCATCTCAGTACCTTGTCGCTATGGCTATGCTCCTCGTTTAGCGTGGTGCTACTGCACGTGTCAACCCCTGAATCTTTGACCTGCGGCTCGCACCACTCCGCATCTTCGTCGTGGGAGCGCTCCAAAAATCGCACCACTGTCTTTTGCCTCTCAGACGGGGCATAACTGGCGTCCAAAAAATATGTCTGCTCATTTGTTTTTCTTTTTCCCCTTTGAATGTTGCCTAAAAGTTATGGATGATATAAAAAAGGAGGAGAAACAAAACATGCAGAGGCGAATTAATCGAGGGGAAATGGGGTGAGAGGGTCACAAGCCTCACCATAGACATTGAGGAGGCCTCGCTATGCCAAGATGCATGGTCCCACCAGTGACCATCCATATCTCCTGAGGACAGCACAGTGAGAGGACATAAACGCACGCACTCGTGTCAACAATATTTAACTTATATAGGCAAACACGCAACATTCATTTACTCACACGCTTTCTCTTACAGCTCTTTTAAAGGTGTAGTTCAACAAAAATGAAACTGCTGCCATTATTTACTCACCCTCATGTCGTTCGGCAAGCGTACAACTTTCTTTCTTCCGTGAAACACAAAAAAATATATTTTAAAGAATGTACTATCCATTTTGTTCCATGCAATTACAATGAATGGGGACTGCAACTTTGCAAAAAGGATGTTCACGATAGAAACTGCAATGCCTGATTCAAGAACGGATCGTTCTTCTGAGTCAGATATTTTGAAAAAAATCAGTCGATCTGGTTCGCTAAATTAAATCACCATTCATTTAGTAAGAACTACTTGTGTGATACTGTTATGGTGCTTTTGTGAAACCTTCAGTCCCCATTCATTGCAATTACATGAAAAAAAAAAGAACTAGTGCATTCTTTAAAAAAAAATCTTGTTTGTTTTCCACAGAAGAAAGAAAGTCATACAGGTTGGTGACTAATGAGGGTGACTAAATGATGACAGAATTGTCATTTTGGGGTTAATTATCACTTTAAATTAACACATGTAACAATTGATATCACTTTTCTTTGTATACACTTACCTATAAAGCAAATGGAAAGACAGAACAAATACAGACATTTTAAAGGTGTATAGTGTTACAAAAAAAGAGCATGAACTACAACACGACCAAAACTACAAGACAAACCCTGTTTATCCAGCAATTTGACAAAAAGAAAAGAAAAAAGTCATAAATATTGTCTTCTTAGCTCAACATCTGAAAGTACATTTTCTGAGAAAGCAAATTACCTGAGTGCCATACATCTAAACAGCACTATTTCTGTTGACAGAGAACCTTTCTGTTAGGAAATCTTTATCTGGTTGGAGACACACAGACATTAAAATCTAGTGCTTAAATGACATATAAAAGACATATTTTTTTCTGTTTGATACAGCTCCATGCTGTTGCATAATGTACATAACACCATAAAATGCATCCCATTTTGCTGATGTTGTATATGGGATATTTAACACATACATATACAGTATATTGTGCATATTTTCTGTTATGAACACATAGATATTCTCACTCAATTCCTGGAATGTCAGGTTAGTTATAGTATCAAGGAATAATTTAAGGCACAAAACCTTTAAAAACACAAATGCCAGAGACAGAGAAGTTCATCATCAATAAGAAAACCTTTAGCATATAAACTGGTATGTTATAACATTAGTTAAAACTGAAAAAAAAATCTCTATTTGCAAGCCAAGCGATCAAGCGATTTCACTCCATAACAGAGATTCAGGCAACTGATGGTGAGAAAGCAAACATTTCCATTAAAAAGTAAAGTTTCCCAAGTTCCCAACTCTAACTTTTCAATTGTGTTAGTATGACATTTTAGTAATACATTTTATGACCTTACTTCTCTTGTCTTGCAATTATTTACATGGGTTGGCAAGCAGATGGATTTGCAATGCATCAATATTGTACTGATACTTTCTTAGCAGTTTAAAACAAAGAACAAGGTCCAGTTTCAAGGTCCTTTAAATATAAACTGGACTGAATTTAAGGAAACCATCATCAAAAGATTCACTTGAAATGTGCTAAATAAACTGGACTGGATTTAAGTAAACCATCATCATAGGACTCACTTCATATGTGCAAAATAATAGTTATTTACATGTGCCTGTGTCATCAATACAGTATATTTGATTAAGAAACCAAGCTGTAGTTTAAAGATGAAAAATATGGTTATTATGCATCCATAATTTTAACAGCCAGATTCAGTGCAATATCACAACGGCACTATAATAAATGGATAAAAGAATTTGTATCCTAGTGTATAGCACGGAAACTTTAATATTGCAGAAGTCTGATTACTGCTGCCAACATTGCATCATCCTGTCCCCAATTTCCCTGCCAGCATGCGGTGATATCTGTATGCTACCGTGAAAAGAATGAACGTTGTAAAAGCTTACTTCTGTAGACATTACTTCTGCCTTAACATACACCATGCCTCACAAACCAGAAGCGTTTGCCATTTGTCCAAGCACCATGTGCAGACCGTTCCCAGCGTCTTCAGGAAAAAAAGAATTTGTTCTGTGTAGTCCCAATATATTGTTGATAATCCGTCTTTGCTGCACCAACCCTTTCAAACCGTGGCAAGTTAAAGTTCTGCAAAGCTGATTTACTCAACTACGTCCACCGGAACAAGGACTAGAACTCAACTGCAGCCCTTCAAATCACACTTGGGTCAGTCTTTAAAGGTCTTGCACATCCCCTTCAAGGAAGATGTCAAACCCAACTGTTTGCCTTTTTTTTCATTGCCTCTCAACGGTGTCGTTCTCTTTCCCTCTCTCTATCTCCTTGCACTGAAATGGAGTTCATGCCTTAGAATAATGAGCTTACCGTTATTCTTGTAAGCCAGCTCAAACACCCTGCCCTACATAGTCCCCGCATCACAACAGACTGTTTCCCTGAGTTTGCCGGGCTGATCCCTGACTCCAAGAACCCCTACAGTTTGCTCATGGCTCCATGGAAGCAAGCATTGGCCTCAATCGCTTGCACCCAACCAATAGAACTATTCCTTTCTTTTAGATTTTCCAACCTTCCGGTTGGTGGTTTTTACACAAAAGTGAAAGTTCAGAGCAAACAATTAAGTTAAAAGTCCTTACTCCAAAGCACACAGCAGCAGAACAGTCACCATTCCAAATGTTGGCAGTTTGATGAAATATTGACTTACCACCATTTTCCCAGGCTTCACACAGCGTGCCGTCTTGGTGTGTGCCTCCACTAGTTTGCTACTTTGACCAAATCCTTTTCTCTTTCTGCAGGTGGGGAGGGAATTGAGTACTTTGAACCAATCAGGTTGGGTTGTCACTAACTGATTGACGTATGTCTAATGGCACCCAATGGAAGGATAAGCTTGTCAGAGATCAAGCTCCTTCCTGTCTACAGTCAAGAAGTGTGCCACTCTTATGAGGTCAGATGGAGTGACTGGATGCCTGCTAGATTTGTGGAAACTCTAGAGTTTAATGTTGGATGCTGGATTGGAAATTTTGGGAAACATTCATTGTCTGAACAAAAACCAACATGGTTACCCCACTGATCAAGCATTGGGATTTGGAGATTTGTTGGTGTTTGTTGGGGTGGTGTGAACTAGCCTTTAGAAAGCTGACTGAAACAGAGAGACTGAGTATGAGCAGGATGAAGGTGGAAGCAAGTGACTCTTTGAGTCACTACGTGTCCTACTTTCTTCTGCTCCACTGTAGCCTCTTGAGTGCATTAAGTAGCTGTGGTGGAGAGGTAACCATGACAGATGCACTGGTGCAATTTCACTTCCTGACTCTGACATGGAAGTGACCCTCTACCACTGCAAAGCTGCTGGGACTCCCTCTCCCTACTTCTGCAGATGAAGCAAGGCTCTGGGGAGCTCTCTCTCTCGAGACTGCTCCTGTGCAAAGAGGCTTATCCAATTGAGCTAATTGTGACCCTGACAACATCAGAGCTTTTAGGGGAGGGGAATATCTTACATGGTAGAAGAAAAAGGAGTAAGAGGAAGGACAGGTACTTCACAGATAGCAAAGATAGTAGCATTCCATATACATTCCTGGAATCCTAATGATAATAAGCACCATGACACCAAAAGAAGAGAAAATTTTAACTTTTGCTGGTACACTATAACGTAAGCAACCACTGATCAATGGGAGTTTTAAAGAGTCCAGTTGTGTTTTCAGACATCCAATCTGCTGTATTCTCACTCATTTCAAACTGACCTTGCTCTTAAGTCACTTTCACACCAGAAGAGAAGTGCCACACCACGTTGTGGATACACTCTCAAAAAACTGTTCAGAAGTCATACCTTTAGGGGTACAACAGCTTGTCACTGGGATAGCACCCTTAAATTAATATATTTTACTCCTAAAAACATTCATAGTAGTACCTTAAGAGTACACATTATTACTCTAAGTTACCAATGCTCAATTTTTAGGGGTATATAATGGCTCATTTCCACCAAACAGTACAGGTCAGTACAGTAGAGTACGGTACAATTCAGGAAAGTACACCCTGATCCGGCTTGCATTTCCACCGCCAACAGTACCCTTACTTGATAGGCATAGTTTATGCCAAAAAAGTAGTGATCTACGTCAACCAATCAACGTTCTGCAGTGAGACTAGCTCCACCCTTTAGGTATCGAAGTACAACCCCAACGGAAGGGTACCAAAAAAAGTGGTACGGTACAATTTTTTGGTACCATTCACAACTTCTGACAATGGAAACAGACATAATTGCATACTAGGGGTGTAACAGTACACGTATTCGTACCTTTCAGTTCAGTACGCACGTGTACCGAACAAATCATTAAATTTTTTCAGGAAATTCAGACAATAAATGCCGTTTTGGCGCTCTTTGATGAGGCGTGACGGCTCGCTGCGTAAACGCTTCAGCAAGAGCATTTCGCAAAATATTAGACTATATAGCTACTCATTATATTTTACTTTACCTGTTAGTGATGTCTTAATCATTTAATGTTTGTTTAAATAAATATTTTATCAAACAAGTTATGACAGCCACTGTGTAAATGATTATATTTCAACAACAAATAGAAATTGTATAATTTAGAAATTAATTTAAAAACTGCATTGAGTGCAATTTACATGTTTGCATACATTTTTTTTTATTTGAGTGTTGATTATTTTAGTTAAAAATAAATAGTAATTAAATTTAAGTTTGGGCTCTGTTGTCAATTGTAAACTTATAGTAATGTAAAATGGCTCCCTATAGTTTAGAGCAGAATCTGAGGTTGATTTGTATAGATTTTCTTTATTAGGCCTATTTCATGAGGTAGATTTAAAGAAAATTGTAATTATAATTGAATTTATTTAAAGAAAGAGCAATTTGTTCAGTAAAACAATTTATGTTTAGTATTTTTTCCTCCTGCTGTAACGAAACCATATCGAACCGTGACATCAAAACTGAGGTACGTACTGAACCGTCATGTTTGTGTACCGTTACACCCCTATTGCGTACCGTACTGTACTGTACTGAACCTTACCACTTGGTGAAAAAGAGCCATTACAGTCAAAAGTTCACTTCAAGAATTAACAAAGCATCGATGACACCCCCTTTATGCATCTTTATGTGTTAAACGCTCCAACTGAGCTTTCCCCTGTTTAAGACTCTTTATTTAAAATGCACATGCTGAGACATGAATTGCAATTATTTAATGTAGTAAACAACATGCCACAGATATTAGGTTGAAAATAATTTGGAATTCTGCTGTACGTCAGGGGTTTTAAATTGTTCCTAAAGCCTCCCTGAGGTGCTGCCCATTTTGAATCTCTCTTTTTTTGACAGATCCAGTTCAGGCCATGGAGTGCTTTACTACTCAGTTAATTCAGGTGTGTTAAATAAAGAAGACATCCAAAATGTGCAGTGCTGGGGAGATTCAGTTTGAAAAGCCTGGCTGTATGACTAATGAAGAAACATGGGCATGGCTGAGAAAAGCAATTTGGTTAGACATTTTAATTATCTTACTGAATCATATTAGCTGTTATACATGTCAAGATGTACCATGCCTTGCTCTTAGTTCTTTTTCAGACCTACAGGGCATCAGGTCAGCTGATCTCATAGTAATATTCTCACTTTAAATGTCTAACAGCAAAAGCTATAGAAATTCATATTCTAACAGGAGAACAGGATTCTACTTAACAGTGAATGGCAATGTATGACTGTGTCCTGTGTCTCCATTCACACGCTAGCATCTTCAGCCCGGCTTGCATTACATAATTAAACCTGCTTGAATAATGAAACACCCTCCATGGTTTAAACCCTGGTCATGTGACTCACCCCATGTAATTGCCAGCGTCAGTGGATTCTCCTTTATCTTAAAGGGGTCATATGATGCGATTTCAATTTTTCCTTTCTCTTTGGAGTGTTACAAGCTCTTGGTGCATAAAGAAGATCTGTAAAGTTGCAAACACTAAAGTCTCAAATCCAAAGAGATATTCTTTATAAAAGTTAAGAGTTAACCACGCCTACCTAAAACGGCTCGTTCTAACACGCCCCCACATACCTACGTCACTATGTGGGAAGATTTGCATAATGCCTCCCAAATTCAAAACATTTCATTACACCAAATACACAAAATAATGTTCTTTTTAGCAGCATCATATGACCCCTTTAAGTGCAGTTTTAAACTGAATTCAGAGGAGAAAGGTCACAGAATAACTGACATGTTATAACTGATCTCAACAACCCCAAAGCACAGAAACTAAAACAAAAATAATTACCAAGAGAACTGGCACTTTTACTGAATCTGAGGTCAATGCATCAACCTTGCAAGTCTCCTACTTAATTTTCTCATCTTTTGACTTCTCATCTGACTGTGTTGAGAATATTAACTAAGGGGTTACTGTTACAAGCAGTAGTCTGGTTAATATTCAACAACAATTAATTATATAATGTAGTTGGCATCAAGCACAACTGAAAAAAAACATGCAAAAATTCTTCAACAAATGTTATCACTATGTTCTCTTAATTAAACGAGCCTCTCCAAATCTGTATTTAAGGCAGACTCAGTAAGACGACATCATAACCCACAGCATCATGACTCTAACCTCACCAACAACAAGTTCTGCTCTGCCAAAACTGACTCTCTTATTTAAGTGGGACAACCAAGAAGAATCAGTAAAGAGTAACCAAAATCATTTAAGGTCTAGGATCTGCTCCTGGAGATCTACCGTCCTGCAGAGTTCAGCCACAACCCCAATCAAATGCACCTGAGCCAGCTAATCAAGGTGTTCAGGGTTACTGAGAAATTGCAGTCAGATGTGTTGAGTTGAAAGTGAAGTCTGCAGGAAGGTAGCTCTCCAGGAGCAGGGCTGGATATCCCTGATGTCAAACCACAAGATTCATCTGGCTGGTGTTTATAAGGTGCACACAGGCTGCATCCAAAATAGCATACTTCCCTACTACATGAAAAACAGTAGGCCTATGTTAAAAGCATAGTATGTGCAAATTCAGTAGACACAAAGTCCTCCAGTGAACGAATACTCCTGGCGAGATTCTGAAGTGCGTATCTGATGGACACTTTACTATCCCATGAGGCCACAGGAGATGAGGATGGTCCAGTAGGTCACATGCCGTCCAGTAGGGAAAATGACAACATGCCGAGTGCAACAGTGTATCCATATTATATTCATGCTACACAAATTCATACTATATAGAACATACTTTTTAACAGTCGCAAAGTAGTTACTTTTTCAAAAGAAGTACCTATTTCACAGGCTCTAAATAATACATACAACAGCATTGAACTCTCTGCTGCCCCCACCAGGTCTGGAGCAACATGGTGGTTACCATGAAGGCATGGCTTTTTCTAGGAAACTGACATGACTGGAGTCACATCTGAGATTCCAGAAACGTTTAATGCAACGTTTCTCCCTAAAACACTGCAACGTTTACTAATCAGTAATTCAATAATTCCATTCAGAGTCAGCAGCGTTTACCTTTTTCGCTGAAGGACTCACTCTCCAGCTCCACATCCTCACAGCTGGTGTACTCTGGCGTGGTTGCCAGCTCCTCTTCTGAGCTGCTGAAGCTGCCCATGGTTCTGAGCTTGCCAAGGCGTTTGCTGCGGTGCGGTCGAGGTGGAGGAGGCCGAACCGACTCGGATTGGTCCGAGCTTAGAGAATCGTTTCGTAGCATGCTATCCATTTTGTCCCGACTGTTCCTGCGCATGGCTGAGCTAGGGTCCAAGTGGTGCTGTTGGGGTATGGGTTTCCTCGTTGGCTCCACCAGTCCTCGCCGGCTATCGCCCAGCACGGGGCTGCGGTGTGGTGTTGGTGGGCTATGATTCGACATCCGATGTCCCGGTGAGCTCCTGTCCATGGAGTACGAGCGTTGACTTGGGCCTCCCAACAGAGGGAGGCGCGACTGCCGCCCACCGGGCCCATGCAGAGGTTCGTCAAGTTCTGTATAGGCGAGCGAGACGTCACTATGACGCCGCTCGTGCCGAGCACGTGACACCTGGGCATGGATGCGCATCTGCTCCTCGTAGGGCTGGGGTTTGACTGGGTAGCGCGCCAGGTTGGGGTCGCTGCGGTATCGGGCCTGGTATTCCTCCTCACGGCGTCTTTGGAGTTCATAGTCCTCTAGCTGGCCGTCCAAACGCTGGCCTTGCGAGTGCCAGCGTCCTCGGCTGTCTTGATAACCGCCCACCTCATTATACATTCTTGAACTCCTTGGCGAATGGCCAGGGTCACGTCCGTAGTCGGACGGAGAGCGGGGCATGCCTCCTTCAGCCGGGGCATACTGCAGTCCTCCTTCCCCCTCCCTTTGGTTATATGCCGCGTTGGGGTCCCTGGATGCTGATGGGCTTCTGTTTCTAAGAATGTAAAAGGAAATGAGGTCAGTGTGAGTGGTCAATGCAGTGAGGTGAGGCTAAAACTCTATTCAATCACAAATGAGCGTATGGCACCTTCATTTCTCTTCAAGTGATTCACACTAGGGTTGTACAAAACTACATACATTCGAAATTACCTTGTTTGAACATACATTCTGATTAAGGAAGCCCTGCATAATAACTTACACATAGAATGTATTCATGTATTCAAAAACAGCTGGATGTAGTGTTAAATACTGAAATGGAACAAAATGCATTGGTCTCAGGATGATCATGGTGCAGGATGCTAAAGAATCAGCAAGTTGCAACAAAATTGCCAAACGTGCAACACAAATGTCCATCCTCACGTGTACACCTAACCCTAACAATTAAAAAAAAAAAAATCTTCAAATGTTTCTCAGGGTTAGCCTTGTGGTCAGTGCTCTGACATATAGCACAAGACCAAGTTTGAGTCACAAAAAAACAATTCTTGCTTTAATACAATTCCAATGCCAGTTGTTCAGTTTTAGTAACAAAGGCACAGTTTTTTTCCTCACATCATATAAATGAGTCTTGATACATAAAAATCAAGCTGTCCTTATATTCTACTTATATTCCCCTTCGCAAGAGGATTATCATATTTGGGGTTCTGGGCATTAAAAAAAACCCTGAAGGAGCACGGCATCCTGATCCATGCCTAATTTATGCCTTCCACTGTCTTTCTAGTCCCTCAGACTGACACAGACGAAAGTGTTCGACGCCACCAGTCACCTCAAGTTCACTGCCCATGAGTCTATCCCCGCTTGGCTTCAGGACTCTCTTGTTATGCAGGCATACATCAACAAGCATCGCTGTTGTTCATGCCCTGGAGCTCTTTCATCGTGAGGAGCCCACAGGGACTGTGAAGCTCTGCTAAAGTGGCCAGTTAGATGGGGTTTGGTGGTCTGGGACCTGTCTGCCATAACAGACCTTTGAGCCATGGCTTTCATAGCGGTTAACCTGTAAGGGCGGAGTGTTCGGCTCTGGCCAGAGTCATGAGGGGAAGTGTTTCACACTGAGTTAGAGAAACACTGCAGTGCCAAGACAGAGCCAGATGCGTTTAGTTCCCTCCCTTTCTGTTTCTCTCTCATTAACTATGTTATATCACGCCAGGAAGTCTCACTTACAGCAGATGCTGCTACTCTCCCGCAGCTGGAAAGAGATTGTTAAAGTAAACAGCTATTTTACTATTGCTCATACTTACAGTTTGTGATTTGAACAAAACCATAAGCTTAAGTATTAAAGTTGAGTGTGAATGATCTCTCATCGTTTGTTTTATAGGCATGAATGATACTACAAATCATGTGGCTTGTTGAGAAGAGGTGCAAGGTTATTATAGTTAGCTAAAACTAAAACCATTAAAAAAACATTAGTATAACTTGATGCACTAAAATAACTAAAACTGAAATGAAAATGTATAAAAACCACAGAAATTAAAAATATAATTAAAAATATAAAAATATTTATAAAAAATAAAAATTAAAAATAATTTAATTTAAACTAAATTTAAAATTATTACTAAAATTAAAATGAAAAATTAAAAAAAAATTACTCAAAATAAGCAACATCTCTCATTTCAATTTAGTTTAACTTGAGGCACAAAAATAATTAAAACTAAAACTGAAATAATGTATAAAAACTAAGACATTAAAAATAATTTAATTTAATTTAAACTAAATTTAAAATTATTACTAAAATAAAAATGAAAAATGAAAAAAAAAAAAAGACAAAATATGCAAGATCTCACATTTCAATTTAGTTTAACTTGATGCACTACAATAACTAAAACTAAAACTTAAAGAAAAATTTATAAAAACTACATAGACATTAAAAAATAATTTTCATTTAAAATAAATTTTACATTTTTACTAAAATAAAAATGAAAAATTACAAAAAAAAAAGAAAATAAGCAAGATATCTAATTTCAATTTAGTTTAACTTGATGTATTAAAAAAACTAAAACTAAACTGAAATAAAACTTAACAACTACATATATATTTTTAAAAATTAATTTAAACTAAATGTAAATTTTTAACTAAAATTAAAATGAAAAACTACTACTACAAAAAAAAGACAAAATGTTAATAAAACTGTATCTCAATGATCCAAACAACACTGGCCTTACTTTTCTAAGTGATTTGACTTGGAGACTGGTGGATAAAAATATCCCGTAGACCTACACTGATCTAAAAACCAATCTGCATCTCACTATAAAATGCTGATAACAACTTGGCAACCACGTAGAAATGCCCTAACAACCACCCATAATACCTTTGCATTATAGTGCTGGCTTTTGCATGGGCGAACATCTTATTTTTATTGACGTGGGCAATACATCATTAAATGATTGTGCAGAGTCAGCAGCAGTAACCATATATTCGCTTTCTTTTATTAGCATCCAAAGTGATTTGATTCAACATATTTCTGCCAACAGTTACGTTCATTAAGTAAAAGCCATGAAGCTATTTAAACATATATAACAATTAAAATTCATAGTAATAAATTCACAGATGATATTTGTTTAAAATGGGGAATATAAACTCACTGGAGCAACTGTGCAATGTTACAAAAATAGGACGGAGTGTCAGTCAACTAAAAGCATCACATCACACATTAGGTATCATCACATCACACATCCCATCCTTGCTAAATAAAAGTATTAATTTCTTCAATCTTACTGACCCCAAATTTTGAAAAGCAGTGTATATTACAATAATAAGTATATATTGCATTAAAAGGGATTCAAACCTATAGTGATGCTCAAAACAGCATCTTAATGGGACAAAAAGAAGAAAACAAACAGACTAAGTGTTAATTCTATACCCACAGCGTGGCATCACGAGATGTAAACAGCCCTAAACCTCATGCATGATAATCTTTCCCAACTGTACAGCCAGTTCTGTGCAAGCATTACTCAGGTGTTATAATTACTCCTCTAGGAACATCTGCACGCCCGTCACAAAACCGTCAACTAAGCAGCATTCAGCAAGAGGAACTCGACTGTCACACGAATGCTGCACCGGCAAAAAAAACAATCCTCCACGGCCGAGCGCGTCGCGTGTGCACGCACCTGTCACTCAAGAGCTGCACATCTGGGCTGCGGGCGTGAGCATGTCGACCGCGCGGCTGCATCAAACGCAAATGCACCGCACCGCACGCTGCTGAAGGGACAGAAGAGGTCCGGCCAGGGGGGAAACAAGGTCACGGCTACAGGAAACGCATGCACTAGTCCCGTAGCACAGCAGCTGCTAGCTTAGTGCGTCCTCCACCCCTCCCAGCATGCTCTAGCAGACGCAGGCCACACCGGAGCAAAGAGCCAATTCTAGAAAGCCGAAGCGGGCCGAGAGGTGCCGAGGGGTGCCGAAAGGCCTGAATGCATGAGGTGCAAAGGCTTCTGGGAATGGAGAGCGGTGTTACCGTTTAATGCTGTTATCACAGGCTGTATATAGCTGGGAGGTCAAACACGACTTTACCCTGCAAGGAGGATTATGGTACTTAGCTGATTACTGGCTGCATGGCGGTTATTGCTTAGCAATCGTACGGCCCGGGAACTCCTTCTCCGAGCGCCCAAGTCTGGATTTCAGCATAATCATCTTCCTCTTTGCCCCGGCAAACTCCAGGAACAAAGCGGGAACAATATCCCAGTCAAATAAACCTCTCTGGATATGATGCATCAGCATGTAGAAGTTGGCTGTCTCAGCATGTGTGCAGTATAAATGCATGCGTGTGTGGGCGCCTTTCCCTGAGCTCGTGTGGGCGATCGAGCATGTGTGTGTTCACAAATATTCATACATCCAGTGTGTGTGTGTGTGTGTGTGTGTGTGTGTGTGTGCACGGTCTCTTTCTCAAGTGGACAGATTAACTCTGAGCCATGCGGGCATGCGTGTGTGTGTGTGTGTGTGTGTGTGCATCTGTGTGAGAGTGATAACAGCGCCACCTAAAGCCAGTGCAATATATTACACGTTAGCTGATTGGTGGTACTTAAAAGGGTGTCTCACAACTATATAAAAATGTTGTGTATAACTTAATGACTCAAACAGGGTGAATTATAGTACATGAGTACACAAACATGCTGGAATTTAGGGGTGCATGATTTGGGGGAAATCAAATTGCTGTCTTTCAGATAAAAATTGTGATTGCCATTTAAAATGTGATTTAAAAATGCCAGGTTTGCCATGGTTGTTTGTAGGGATTCACAATTTGACCAAAACTTTGTGAAATATATATATATATTTTAAGTTTTTAAGTTTCTCTTTTATTATCTCCCTTAGGAGAAATTTGTCTTAGGCAACCGGGAGAGCAGATCAAACATACAAAAAAAAATAAAAAAATAACAAATAAATACATACAAATTTTTTTTTTTTTAAATAAATAAAATAAAATAAATTAATATTACACCATTCCAAAACATATAATTCCTATACAATCCTAATAATACACCAACATTACATGTTACCCATCACATTACCCTCACCCACACAACAATTTCAATCACTTATTCAATATATATATATATACATACATATATGGCTATAAAATACTACCACTACTACTTCCACTACTATTAATAATAGATATTAATAAAATAATTAAGAATAATAATAACCATTATTATTATTATTATTATTTAAACAACACTAATTGTATTATTATTAAATACAAGTATAAAAAATACTAAATGAATCTAAAATAATTACTGAAATACTTACTATTGTAATATTTCCCTGTAAAATAAAAAAATCAAGTATTAAAAAAATGTATAACAATAATTGAATTTTACACTGCAACTGTAAAAGCGCAATACCAATATTTATGTCTGTCTTAATTACTTCATTTCAAACGTTAAACCACCGAACTTTTGTTTTGACGGAAACGGCAGGGAGTCCTTAAAGCTTCTTCTTTGTTCATAAGCACTTCTCATCACAAGAATGTTTGGCACTTTTGTTGCCAAATGCATATTAAAG